GCATACCGCTAATATCTGATGACACCAAACAGCTTTGTTAATTCAATTCAAAGTAGTTTATGGAAACCTAACTCACATTGTCATTTTTATTTATTTTTTGACAAGTTTATGCGAACATGACTGCTGTTGCGTTTTAAAAATATGACTTGGTAGGTGCAACTGTCCCATTCTGTAAAAGACAATTCATCAACACAGTACTTTAAGAAACAACAAAAATAATCATAATAATTTGAGCAAACAACCATGAGCCAGGCTTCACTAAGCAGGACCTACCAGCATATAAAAGTGCAACGCATCAGAGTCGCTGATTCTGAAAATCCTGATTTAGAGCGAGTTGTTAAACAGTTGGTGGTACTAATTCTCCAGCTGAGGGTCTTTAAACCGCTGCAGCTTAGACGTGCACGTGGAGAGTGCAGTCGTCTGCCAAGGTCAATGTCCTGTCTTACAATTTTCATGAAATTCAGACTGGTAGTTTTTGCGTAATCCTGTTGACAAGCAAACAAACAAACAGACAAACTATAGCTCTGCCTCAGCTCTCGCCTTGGCTGACGAATGAGGGAACCAAAAGATTATATTAAAAGAGCTATTCATAGAAAACTCGAAATAAAACTGGACAACAATCTAGAAAATGTGATGGAAACATGGAACTAAGCTTGAGTGACAAATGGGGCTGAAGAGTTAATCAATTTCAAATCGATAATCACCATTTGGAACCGTGCAATTACCAAATTGCAAAGACTGCCATTTAAGGTGTACATTGTGCAGGGTTTTTAGCGCAGAGTTATAATTCATGCCGTCCTCTTTATGTGACAGTCACCCTTTTGATGATGTCCCATGTGAAAACCCCGGATCACATGTTTTACATCTATCACACAGCGAATATCGAAGCAAAGCTTGACTTTGAAAAATTACACCACAAATCAAATCACACTGTCAAGAAAAAAAAAAAAAGAAAGAATCACACTTTGATATTTTTTCCCGCATCATTCATCCCAAGCGACGAATGAATCGCATGCTTCGAGCATGTCATGATTTATTCGCTGAGCTTGTTTCTGTCGCACGTTGAATCCACCTACTTTTCCCAGGCAAGCAAAACCTTTTGATCTAAATATATCTCACATTTTTCTGATTTGCAATCTCTCTATTACTGAAATTGCTGCACAGTAAATACTCTTATTGGATCCACTTCTGACGCACTGCATAAATGTGACTCTCATAGGGAGGTCAGAGGACTTTAATATTATAGAATGCAAGCACACTGAATTGGTTTTGCTGAAATAAATGTAGTCATAAATAATAGCAAAAATCTGGTCTGAATAATGCAAATGCTAAAAACCATAGTGTCTAAATCTTTGGGATGAACAACCTACTTTGTTCTCCTGTGCTGTTATGTAACAGGTCACAGCGATTCAAGGTATCACCTGTGTTTGGGGAGGAAGGGGAAGCCTGACTTTCAGCACCTAGCTTAATGCCATCTCCATTAGCGGATCATATTTGTGCCTCAAAAAGGCAGAGAAAAAAGACCCTCATTGACTGGCACACAGGAGCGGGTAGGTTATGCAATGGCACTGAGCAGGAGGCAACAACTCAAGAAATGATGTTATATAACTGACAAGGCACATTCACACAGCCCACTGGGCAGCCAAGTGGAAAACAGGGTACTCTAGCATTGACAGAAAAGAGGGGTGGGAGAGAAAAAAAAACAGAAGAAGGAGGGGGGTATTGTGTGGATGTTTGGGGTAAAAGCAGGATAAAGGAAGAGGTGTGTGGGAAACAGTGCAGTGGTCCATATCATCAGGCTGACGGGACGAAGGTATTCTGTCTCGCTCGAAGGACAAACGTGCACAGAGACAGTAAGAGCCTTGTGTGAATAGAGATGTCGTTTCTCATTATAATGCATGAGGCACTTTGAGACTCTGGGTTTAAATAAAGGCGAGCCATCTCACCCCATTTCCCCCAGTCCTTGCAGTTTGAAAAATAAAGAGGGGTAGAGGAATTCAGGGCCCGAGGCATCACCAAGTGACCGAAGAGGAGGAAAGAGAGCCAGAGAGAGAAGAGCTGTTGAATGAAACAGAGAGAAAAGAGGAAACTCACAGCAGAGCACCATTAGTTCCCATTAAGTTCTCATTTATTCAGTTAGCTGCACAAAGATGCATTGCTCCCATTTGTCATGCACAAGAGTTGGATCACGCAGCTGAATTTGGGGTCTGGTGTTGGGAGATTTAGTGAGCCATGCTGTGCTGTGTTCTGCATGGACTCCCTCGCACGCTAACAATGTATTTCCACTGGGTCTGGTCACATGTCAGCCAATACTCCCCGGTGTATTACGAGCATCCCCATACCACAGGAAACTAACAGATGCGAGGCCGCCATGTGGACACTGGGAAGTTGAATCCAGCTAACCCTACAATTAAAGAGCAACAATCCTGGAGATGTTGGCATTCTTTTAATACCAGCAAAGATTTCCTTCTTTTCCGCTACTGTTTATTTGGGTTTCTGAAAATAAATCTGCACTTTAGGTTGCGGAAACTTCAGAAGCAGAGGCTGGAACATTCGCCTTCAGTGGCAATGAAACTGAACTGTCACCAGTGTGGAACAGCTGTCTGTTAAAGTAGTGAATGGAAAAAAATAATAAAAAACATGTCCCTGAAAACCAAAAGAATTTCCAACCAGGACTGTGGCTCACCGCCGCCGTTTCAAAAAGCTTTTTTTGGGGGGGGGGGGTTTTGCACACGTAATTATGAGAGTCAAGTGCTAAATGGCTTGCGTGCGACACTGTAACTCCAATATTGGGCAACCAGCTGGAGGACCAGGTGGGTAACTGCAGGGTGGGCCAATCACTAGCACACCCAGAACCACTACCGCAAGAAGAAAAAGAGACGGGAAATAGACAATTTTCTCTATCAATAACACATGTCCTGGTGTAACTCTGAAGCAGGGGATTTTTTTTTTCCACTTTACACCCCCATCCATGCCTGTTTTCTGACTTTAACAGTCCTGCAGACCTCAAAAAGCTCTGGATTTCTTTCTGTAGAGCCGAGTGGCTAAAAAGAAGGTGTGTGTGTAGGTGGAGCTGCTGGACTCATCATGCAATATTTAAAATTCATCACTGACATCATGTTGATGCTTCAGGCTGTAAGCAGCAGCACAGGCCCTCCCTGACCTCACCCATGCCTTGTCATAAGCTGTACAGCCTCCCTTGCAGAGACTTTAATATTGTCATTAGTGCCTCCCTTCACTTTCTCCATCCTCCCCTGGTTTGACGAATGCAGCTGATTCAACATATGCTGCTTTCCAGTAGCCGTTCAACATCCTCATCATCATCAACTCTGAGCGCTCTCCACCCAACAAGACACACCCCAACCAAAAATAACTCCAGCTCGGGCTGGATCTCAGCATGTTACATAAAAAAAACAACATACATCACAGACGAGCTGTGACTCACTCGCTGCAGTGAATAGAAGCTACGGTGCACATGAATACTCAGACTGGCATAAAATCTGTATTGGAAAAGGAAAAAAAAAGATCTTATTTGTACAGATATGATTCCATGCTAATCACTCGCGGGACCCATAGGATGAGCAGCAGCTGTAATGTTCACTGCCACTCCCGTTACGTAAGAGGACTTCCATCCACTCACATAATTGGTTTTGACCCCCATGACAGCTCTGATTTGTGCTGTGAAGTGGAGAAAAGATCAGGACCAAAGAACGGCATGTTTTTGTTCCCAGCATGCGGCCAAACACAAACACAGAATTACTCAAGGTTCAACAGGACAGCAGCAGCGGTGGCAGCATGTAGTTTTAAAAATAAACCGAGCAGAGGGCGCACATCAAGTGCAGCCTTTAGATGTAAATTTTTGTTTATTTTCATGATCTAAGCTCCCTTTAATCCTATGCTTTGTACTGAACTCTGCACATTTCTTGTAGTGTAAACACCTCTTACAGTAAATATAAGGTGCAGCCTTCCTGCGAGCGTGAGTCAAAGCTCTTCGCCCAAGTGGGTGTTTTGTTTTCTCGTCTTTGTTTACAAGGATGCAAGGGATGCGTGTGTTTACAGGTTCTCATCCCACTGACGCAGCATGATGTTGCCGTGCTCTTCTGTGAGTGGGCAATCGCAGCATATGGCTTTTCTGCACTCTTGGCAAGGGCCTCCATCAGCAACCCTCCAAAGCCAACTGCCGAGCTTTGGATGTTTACCAAAGACAACAAATTAAAAAACGGCACAGATCAGTGTCAAAATAAGATAAATCATTCATCCAGTCTTGAGAAGACAGTGCAAACAAGGCATGTTTTCTCTCACACAAGTAAGAAGCTTTTTATGTCATGAAAAGTAAATAGTATTTGACATATTTGCTTTTGAGTCTTTTGTTTACACTGACCCTTTTGGCTCTCCAGCTTTTGGGTTACCTAAACTTTGTGTCTGTGAATCATTTACTTTGCCAGCAACTTCTAGCCTAAAAAAAAATAAAAGTCTAATCTTAGGAATGCTGAGAATTGTACTTATGTGTCCCCTGGGAAATGTAGGAAGGCTTTACATTTACCCACCAGTGGAAGAAAATCCATAAGGAATATTGAGCTATACAGTATGGCAGCCTGCTGTTAACAGACTGGACAAAAACCACTATCAATATACTACTGCTTTCTATTTTGTATGGGAATATTGCTCAAAATACACAGAGGTAGCAAAAGTTTATGTTTACATTCAGAACTCCATTCAAAAAACATGCATTTTTAGCAAAAACGTGTATATTCTCTAACCTAACGGAGCTATAACATATGTTATGTTCAATGAATGAAAATTAACTCGTGGAGCACCATTCGTACCATTTTAGAAATCAATAAATGATAACACCGCGATAAAAGTGACACAAACTATCCCCCCAAATACAGATCGATCCCCCTGTCAGGAGTATGTTTTGGCTAACGAGCGGGATCACTAACACTAGCCAAAAAAGTCATTCAAACAGCCAGGAGTCCGTTAACGGGGCCATCACTTACCGAAATACACCGTCTTGTCGCACTTGGGGCACTTTGAAGACATGTTTACGATGTCGTGAGTCGAGTGAAAGTGATGTGTTTTTGTTCGTCCGGAGCGACTTCCACTCTCTCTTCGTCCTCTGGCTCCTTCTCGCCACAGCAAGTGTCCCGCTCCGCTCGCAGCCGCCGGAGCATCTATTCAGCCAACGGCCGCTCATTTGCATAGCCCCGCCCCCCGCCGCCACGATGCGCCGCCTTCATGTGCTGTGGGAAATGTGGCATCTGCACAACACGCTGGGAGGAAGGCTGAACATTTCTGAGTATGGACTACACAGACACGGCAGGGTACTAAAATAGCATAATTAATAACATTGTAGGGTCTTAACCGTAATATTTATAGTTACCCCAGATGGGATCGGTTACTATATAAGTAATCGGTCACATCTGTGTGTATGTCTGTCTGTGAACGGTCTGTAGCTCCAGCGCTAAGTTCTAACAAGTTGATGTTTTACAGGTGAGCTGGGAATGGCCTCTCCTTGGAATGATTGGATTTTGGGGTCAATTGGTGCAAAAATAGCTCCACTAAAGGTCAAAGGTCACTTTTTTTTTAAAAAAAATGCCTTATGCCTTTTAAAAGGGTGGAAGGTAGATTTATGGTGCAAGTAAGCGACCATGTTGGAGCTTTCTGTTGGTGATGTCACATTTGCCCTTGGATGATATTTCAAGGTCAAACCCAAGGTCGCACTGAGCATTCGGTCCGACGGGGCAGGAGTGTGCGGGCGTAAGTAGCAGTGGCAGTGGCGGCGGTGGTGGCAGTGGTGGAGGGGTATTTTCGGAGATCAAAATTGGTATCCCGATTCCAGCGCAGCGAACGAATTCAGAATGCCCCGGTCCGCAGCCCTGGTCCACGGCCCGGTACCAAATGACCCACGGCCCAGTACCAGTCCGCAGCCCGGTGGTTGGGGACCACTGTTATAGACAACATTGTAGGGTTCTAACTTTATTGTATTGCTCAAGTAAATTTGTATCATAAATAACATTGTAGGATCTTAATGTAATGCTATGTAAATTAGTCAGATAGCTTTGTAAAACAAAACTTATTGTAGAGCTGTAACCTAAATATTTAAATTAGTCAAGCTAATTAACAAAGCATACAATATTGTAAGGTCTTAGCCTTTTTATTTAAAATAGATAAATTTGTGTAAGACATAATATTGGAGGGTCGTAATGTTAACATTGAAATTATTTGGGTAAAATTGTATAATGAATAATATTGTAGGGTTGTCAAATACATTTTTATAACTAACAACATTGTGGAGTCTTAACTTTAATATCTAAATTTGTGTAGTAAATTTTGTATCGTCATAACTGTAATACCGAAACTGGTGAGGTACATTTGTATTACATATTTAATATTGTAAGGTCTTAACTTTTATGTTTCATTCAGTCACGTCATTTTACATTTTATAAGTTGCATTGTGTGATCTTATTCTTAGTATTTAAACTTGTTTTGTCACAATTTGTCAGTGTTGTTTTTTTACCTGAAAGCACTTTGGCTCAACATTTAATGTTTTGTAAATGTGATATATAAGTAACACTGACTTGATGCGACACTAGCTGGGTTTAGATGATTAAAACAAAAAAACAGGTTGGGTATTAAATTGGAACTGCAGTTCAGCATCTGGTATTTTGCATTCATACATTATTCCTCAAGCAACTAGCAAATAGCCACGAGCAGCTAGTCAAGATACAGCCCGTTAGCAAAGTAAATATTTGTTGACTTCCTGTTTCATGTAGTGATGAAGGCTATTATTCACAAATTGAACTTCTATTTTGTTTATTCTTTTCTGAAACTGTGGGGCAACTTTTTCCATGAAAAATCCCATTAATGTTTTGCTGTTAGAGCACTTAAGTGCTGTATGAAAAAAGGTATTACTCTGTTTTGCCCTTCTTTTTTTTTTTTTAATTCCATGCTCAATCACAATATAGGACTACAATGTGAACACTACATGTGGTTGAGTGACTAGTATGTTTCAAGCACACCCCAGCCTTTAGAATCTTTACAGCTTAATCCAAGCTGTAAATCTTACGAGCCGCACTTGAAGGCAGCATGTGCTCCTCTATGGGCCAGCCTGTGCTCTGTCATAGCCGGACAAGGCCAGGCGGGAAAGCTCTTGGGCAAGTGGTGGAGCAGTCCACTGGGGCAAATGCACTCCCATTTCCTTTTTCCCTTTCCACAAGAGGAGTAGGCAGTGTTTCGTTGAATCACAATGCTCTCTTTCAGAACGAGTGACTCGTAGGAATTTGTTAGGCAAAGGAAGACGCTGAAACGTGGCTCGGGTGGATCAGCTTTCCCCTGAGAAGGCTCGCTGGCTTCATAACAAATAAGGCCCTCTGAGAGACAGACGGGCGGAGCTGGACGGCAGCTTCTGAATTTCTCACAGTCCAGCATCACATTTACTGCTGCATGCGTTCACTTATGATGACTAATTAAACCACTCATTGACACGAGATTATCAGTTCCTCCAGCAGAGTGTCTGCCTCTTTCCACTGGGCCTCTCGAGAGTGACTGAGATCATCTCTTTCACACATTGGTGCTGTCTGGCCTGTCTGCTTTCTGACACAGTCCAGGTCCCGGTCCAGGAACAGACACTCTGATATTTCCCCCATCTGTCCCGGCTGATTTGCACCCGTCAGCATGCCTGCAATCAGTTCCTCCTTATCTCTGAGTTCACTGTTTTAAAAAGAAACTCAGACTAACGGACCGCTGGGGACTCAACGGGCTCTTAAAGGCAGCAAAACTGTGCGCTGGGCTGTTAGACTACATAGTCCCGTGTGTTTTTCGCAGAGGACATGAGTTCATTACCGTTCACCTCCAGCTGTTTGCTGTGGTTGCAGGTTTGTTGCCGGTTCAGCTGCAACGCACAATCAGACTCAAACCTGCTGAGAGGAGAGGAGGTCAAATATACTCGGGAGTGAAATGGAGACAAAGAGGAATCTGAAACTGAAGGGCCGGCGTTCCCCGAAAACCTCGGCTCACTGAACACATGCCATAAAGATAAAGGAGGAATATGTTAGTGCCACTTTCTGTGGTATAAAACATTTATGTAAAGGTAAAAAAAGGGAATGCACAACAAGAAAACCTTCCCCTGGAAAATAAAAACTTAATTTTTAGCGCTTTAAAGGTTGGAAATATATGGAGCAAATGTGAATAATAAGTGTGGGGAAGGACGCCCCTGACAGGTTTGTGCTTTGAGGCGGTGTGATGTGATGCTTTTGAGGAGTGGGCGATGCCACGGAGACTGGAGTGGACATATCCAGGCCACTAGCTTTACTTTTAACTTGTTTCTGATCTGGTGCTTTGGTTCAGACTGTTACTCCAGAGCAGATCAAGCTTCCAGGCCCACGGGGACAGGCAGGAATAGACAGAAGAGAGGGAAGGGTGAGGTGGTCCTGAGGGGCCTTAAGGCATGTTGGTACTTTACTGTCAGAGACTTGGAATGAAGGATGAAAAAGTGCACCACAATGTGACACATCCTCATCTTTTCTACTACAAAAAGCATCCTTAGGGGGAGAGCATTGATTTTATACATGAAGATTGGTCTGCTGAACATGCACTCGTCTTCTGAAAACAGTTGTATAATGTCCTAAGTGGCTCTGGGAGATGTCAAGTTTGAGAATATGTCTTGGATTCGGCTTGCAACTTCAAACTTATGACACTGGGGTACAGAGCTCGAAAACTGTTGGTATTTACCAGGCAGGCATATCTAAAGAAAGATGCTCCTGAGATGTATAACAGTAAGATGTTAGATGTAGGAAGATGTAAGATCTGTTTGGACCTCGATGCGTACTTGAGACTGAAATATTCATTCAGATTAAGGCATCAAGTTAAAGTGATTGTTTCAAAAGTGTCTATTCACCCATTCATTTCCTTGTTTATCAATGGTGGCAGCAGGCTAAGCAGGTCATTCCAGGTGTCACTATCCCCAGCAGCGCTTTCCAGTTCCTCCTAGGCGATCCCGAGGCCAGATGAGATATATGTAATCCCTCCAGGGAGTTCTGGATCTACTCCTGGGTGTCCTCCCAGTTGCCCAAATAACCACAGGAAAGCACCCAGGAGACATCCTAATGAGATGCCTCAACAGGAAGGGCAGCAGCTCTACTCCAAACTCCCTCTGAATTTTAAGTATCTCTGGAACTTGTTGGTGAGTGATGGAAAAATGGTGCACGAGATGGCCAGACTGATTAGTGCAGCGTCAGCAGTAATGTGGGCGTTGTACCGGATGGTTGTGGCAAAGTGGGAGCTGAACCAGACGTCAAAGCCTTTTACCACTCAATCTCACTCCAATACTCGCCTATAAGCTCTGGGTAGTGACCGAAAGAATGACATCTGTAGTGGAATTTCTGTTTGGTTTTCCTACATTCTAAAAAAAATCTAATTTGGGCTCAACAAAAAGCTGCGACAGTTTGCATCAATCTTTTTTTAATTGGGACAACTTCTAATGAAATGTTCAACCAACTAACTATGTTGAGGGGAATTAGTTATTTCAATCAGACATATTTTCAATGACCTCTTCTTTGATGATTGGTGGCATGAACATAAGTTTCTAAGTTGACAACTTAACTCCTGAGTTAAAGCCAACATCAAGCTAATTTTATTAAGTTACTCAACTTGAATTTCGTTTTAGTGGTCCGAGTTTAAACTACACACAATATCAAGTTGATGCAATTACCAACATTATTACTGAATTTCCCTTCTGGGATAAATAAAATATTTTTCATTTCATTATTATGTCAACACAACCCAACTTACAAGGATTATCTAAATGAATAAATTACATAGTTCGTCATCCAACCACACATTTAAATAAATGGTGGGAATGGGTCCTTTTAATCACTTTTTACATCTTCTTTTTTTGGCATAGCTGTCCTGTTACTGCAGAGGTGCTTGTATCACAGATGTTATAAGAACACTTAAATCTGTGGAAGAATCCTCTAGGACGGCAGTTGTGTGACACATGTCCAGCTCCCCCCAAACAGCCAATCAGCAGCTTTGTAACAGCCAAAATGAAAAAACATTCAGCCAGTCGTGTTGCTGCATTGACACAAGCACAATGTTGTCAAACTGTGTGCATGAGTAGTAGAAGCGCTGGATGAGTTGTGATGAA